TGTTTTATTAATAATTATACAATAAAATCTTTAGCTATACCCTCACAGTAAACTCAGTGCAGACTTCTTCATACAGTAGATAGTTAAACTATGGAATTTAATTCTTATTTCTTAGATTTATATCCTGCTTTTTTCTTATGAACCCAAGAGGTTTACATCATTCTCTTCCTCCTGCCCTCCACCTTACCCCACCACAACAACCCTGCAATGTAGATTGGGCTGCGAGTCTGTGACTAGCTGAAAGTCTCCCAGTTGGCTCCATGGCTGAAGGGGACTAGAACCCAGATTGCCTGTGCCCCAGTCCCACACTCTTAACCACTATACCACACTATACCAAGATGGCCACTCATTTGATGGCTGTACAAGAAGATGAGCCACATTTATAAAGAACATGGTACTATTCCTGATGGCTCTATCTATTATGACCTCCACTACTGAGAGCAGTCGCTCTTGGGGAATATGACCAGGATGCTCCTGCTGCTTATGGACTTCCTATTGGGCATCTGCCTGGCCCCTGTGTGAACAGAATGCTGTTTGGCTTGGTGCAACACACCTCTTCTCCTGCTTCTATTTGCATTGTATGTTGCCTTTTTCATTTAATGCCAAATTAAAGAAACATGCTTCCTCTGCTGTGGGACGCTAAGCCATATTTCCACTCTAGAATTCCGCTGGGCTTCCTTCAGGATCTTGGCAAAACTTCCAGGAACTCAAAGGGATGATGAACTATTTTGTAAGCCAAGAATATCTATTTGCTTGAGGAAAGAGATGCTGGCATCATTCTGATCCTTCTCTTGTATTCCCATCTTCCTTCCCATTACACATTCACAAAATGGTAGATTGGATCTAGAACTGCCATATGCAGAAAAGACGTATTGAATTCTGTGGAACTTACATTAGCTTTGACTAACTTTTGTTCACTGCTCCGAAAGCCTTGGTTATTAGATGACATAAAAATGAAATAAACAAACGTAAGTCCTGTTGATTTAAGTGGGTTTACTCTAGGCCTGATTAACCTCACTGCCCTATAGTCTTCTGACCACATTACCCCAGTCTTCTGCTCTTTGAACTGAATTGTTCTAATTCTTCCTTTTTTCTCTTTATGCCAAGAAATTTCTCCTACAGCAACTATGTAGCAGTGCTTTCCCTCTCTCTCCTCTTTAATCCAGTATTTTTAATCACCACCCCACACCACACTGAAACAAACGCCATGTATCTATTCCGATATATTTGTGCATCTTTTCTTTTTCCTCTCTTACTGCCAAAATTTAGACCTTTGGGGTAGGGGTTTTTTTTTTTTTTTTTTTTTTTTTTTTTAGTTAAATTTTCTTTTTTTTTTTTCTTTTTTTCTTTTTCCCTTTTTTTTTCCAAATTTTTTTTCTTTTGGGTTGGGTTTTTTTTTTTTTTTTTTTGCTCTTTCTCTAGATAAAGTACCATTCTCATTGTTGCTATTATACGTTCTCCATCATTTATTTAAAATATTTCTTAACCACCTTTTAAGGCAGAAGACCTCCCAAGACAACACACAATACATTTCACATAAAAATAGCCTAATAACAATAAAAACAGTAAAATAAAACTTGCATAATAAAAACTGCAATAAAAACACCAAACTTCTTGGTTATGCACTGGACACAGTGATGCAACACATGTTTTTGTGACTCTTCCATGGAAATAGAATTTCAAACTTATTTAAAAGTTTTAAATAAATAAATAAATAAATAAATACATAGCATTTTATAGGACTCTTCTGCACATAAGTATCAAAGCCCAGCACAGACCTGCATTAGCCACACTTAAGAAAGAGTGATCTTTTCTGGCAAACTGGGGAGATCATTCCTTGTATTAATGATGCTTATGCCAATCCACAAGAATGAGTTGCTTACAATATATGACAGTATGTGACAAATACGACAATTCCATCCTATTTAGCCAGAAAAACTCCTACAACTTCCAGTAATTCTGCTCAGGACATGCTTGGAGTTGCAGGACTTTTTTCTGTCTAAACAAACATAGGACTGCACCCTTAGTTGCCTTCCTCTTCCAGTAGGAAAATAATGAGACTTGGCTCATCTACAGGCATTAATTTGCTTAAATGTATGCAAGTTTTAAAACTGCATTGCCCATAGAAGCCACAAAGGCAGTATGGTGCTGCGGCCACCGAAGAAAAGCTCCTGCTTATCAAAGGCAATTAAGTGATACGTGTGCAGGCTTACGGATAAATTGTTTGGGTGTGAGTGGGTGGATAGTGCACATCAATGATGGAATTACCCTTCCAAAGTCAAAGATCATTTATTGTCTGGAACAGTTATTCAAGCGGGGTCAAAAGTACGTTTTGCATGCAATGCTGAACCTTTCTATTTAGAAAAGGAGGGTGCAGCTTTGGGCCCTACAGATGCTCCCTACAACTCTCAGCAGCTGTAGCTGATGGGGACAGCTGATGGCATTTGTGGCCCGTGCAACTGGAGAGCCACGGGTGGTCCAGCCCTGGATTAAAAGGATATCAGAGACTGGGTGCAGACAACATGATAATTGAGACTCATGGGTTGAATATGGGCCGTTGCTGAAATGCAGGTTATGTCGATCGAACGAAGCTGCACTAACAATTCATGGCTTGCTAACCACTAACTTTTGAGAAGAACCCATGGTTTGTTGTTGGGTTGTGAACTGTAGATTGCTCACCATGGTTTATTATCTTATCTGAGTTCAAATAACCCAGGAACCCGTTTCAACAACAACTCTGCAATTCAATGATCATGTGTTGTCCAAACCCAGGGGCTAGGAGAGATACCTGGCTGAGATCCAAGAAAGACTCTGCCTGCCAAAGTTGACAGCATTAGATTACATGGGTGAGAAGCCTAACTTAGCATAAGCATGTTCTTTAACCTTATCAAACCCACATTCCAACCTTCAATAGGGGATCAGTTTAAATTAAGCCCTGCAATATCCATTTGTGCCCTTTTCTCTGTAGGACAGCTTTCCCCAAACCTGATGGTTGAGACTACAATTCCCATCAGCACCAGGAGGAACAAATCCAACAGAGAGCAGCAGGCCTCTTCCAACAGTTGCATAGAAACAGGAATGCCTATGGGCTCAGTTTACAAGAACAAGAAAAGGCTTGTCTTTTAAAGTTATCTCAGCTGCTCAGCTACGAAGAGACTAGAAGCTCTGGCAATTGTCTTCTTTTTCTTGTTGCATTTAAAACCCCAATAATTTAAAGACAATGGTGCTGCTGCCACTGAGGAAAAGTTTGTCTGAACCTCATTTCTGGGTCCTTTACATCCTTGAGTTAATGTTATACTGATGCTTTCACTTATGGAAGTTATTTTATTATGATGTGCACCACTTTAAGATTCCCTCGGGCAGTATATTAAATCTATTAATTACAGCAATCAAATAGGAGCAAGGCATGTCTCTCTTTCACTCAAAGAAATTTACAGCACACACCTATGCAGGTTTACTCAAAAATAAGTCTCAATGAATGGCAGCAACCCCACCCTTGCCTGGGTGAAAGTTCCCCTGAAAATGCTGTGGTTAAGTCCTCAAGAACAGCAGGTCTAAGGCATGTAAATACTAGGCATTATCCAAAACTTTCCACAAGGAGAAGAGGAACAAAAGCACAGGATAACAGGAGCTTTCAATGGGGCATCATTAATGCCAGCTTTTAGAGCACTGGGTACAAATTAAGGGCTACTTAATTTGGTCTGCCGCAGGAATGGTACTAAGCACTGAAAAGGTCCTGGACTGAGGCCCACAATTTTGCATATGCTAATTTTCCATACTCCAAAGGATGTGGACATTTGAAGTTCCTTGTCTGCTAAGGTCACCCCCATTTGTCAAGAGGGATGCCTGGACAGGGAAGAGGATACGATCTGAATTCACAGAGGAACCTCAGATAGAAAAAAGCGAGCAGGGGGTGAAGCACATGCAGGCACGTCGCCCCCTCTGCTAATCCTGGGGGATCAGATGCGACGGAAACCATCAGGGCCTCTGCGCCCGTCTTTCAGCCAGCGCCCAAGACCAGCAGCAGGGCGGTGGAGATTCGCAGCTCCAGCGGGCCATCTTCTCACATCCCCTCTAGTTGAACGGAGTGCAGGACAAACGAAACCACCACCACTAAAATAAAAACTAAAAAAAAAAAAAAAACCGCGAAAAAGCAACGAAGCGTGCAAAATTCGAATCATGCTCCCACTTCGCAATTCCCGCTCCGGAACGGGAAGATGCAACTCCGGCAACAACTCCGCTCCGCTCACGCCCTCCTCCACTCGGCTTCGCCCGCGGAGCGAGGGGCAGGGCTAAACGCATCACACGAGGGGGCGTGGCTCGAGCGCCGCGCGGCGAACCGGACGGTTGAGCGCGAGCAGAGGGAGGGTTGCTGCGCGGAAAAGAGCTTGAGCGAGCGGGTGCGCGCGCGCCTCGCTCGTCCCCGCCGCCCGGCCGTCTCTCTCTCTCTCTCTCTCTCTCTCTCTCTTCCCCCCCGCCCCACAGCACACCGCCTGTGGCAGAATCGCGCCCTCTCTCCTTCCCCTTGGCCGCGGCGGCTCGTCTCACGCGGCGGCGCTGATCGGGGTGGGGTAGGCGCGCGCTGCTCACCTGGGGGCGTCGCCAGACCTCCGCCCTGAGGCGAGGCGGGCCGGGCCGGGGAGGGGGGAGGCAGGACGGGGGCGCCCCTCCCACGAGGGAGCCTCTGGGGGGCTTCCGAGCGCTGCCGGGGATCTTCGCCTTTCGGACGTGCCCGTGCGATGGTCTGCTCGCCTCCAGCCGGGCTGGGGCGACTAGGACAGTGTGTGGGGGGCAGTGATCCGTGGGGCGCTTATTGGGGGGAGGGGCGTCTTCTGAAAGGACAGCGGGGTAGTGTTAGAGACCCCATTCGGGAAAGGGCAGGAAGGGTCTCCCCGGGGCCTCAACCGGGGCTGAAGTGAGCCTGTGTGAGGCGGGGGTCATTGGGGGGGGGCTTTTCATTTTCCCCCTAGGGTCCCTTTCTTGCTATTTTGGGAGTGTATGGTGCTGTCTCATGTGGGTAGGTCTCCAGGGTAGAGAGCTGCTGTATTTAGAGACTCGGTTTTTGCAGGAGGTTATTGAACCCTTTCCCCTCCCCCCCTCAGAGGGAAAAAGCAACCCTGTCCTGGGGCTCTCATGTTTGGGGAGGGGGCCCTTGGCAAAGGAAGGCTTCTTGCCGGAGTGTTGCCCATTTTCGGGTCCTTGCTAGTGGGGTTGTGGAAAACCCCCTGAGGATTTCTCTGAAAGGCTTGCCCCTTTAAGCTACCTTGGCAGTGCTTTTAAAAGAGACACTTGCACAGTAGCTCTGTTTATTTTGCAGGAAGGAGCTGTTCCTGGGGGCACGCTTTTGTGGAGGGGGTAGGCTTTTCAGAGCTTCCAGGTTTCGAGGTGACCAGTGGGATGTAGAAAGGTGTGCGAGGCCTAATCTTGGGGATTCAGGTCCCTGTGTGCATACATACTACTTTCTTCCTGCTTCTGCTGCTGTTTTATTGACCTCGCACCAGGGAAATGTCGGAGCTGAGGCAGCGAGGAGCTGGGGGGGATAATGAAGCCGAAAAAATCATTGAAAAGGTAAGTCTGAATGGGCCTCCATTGCCGGGGAACTCAGAAAAGCAGGGTGTTTACTCGCCTTTTTCCCAAGCAGATCCACCACCCTTTCTGCTTGGTTCATGATGTGCTCCTTCTAAGCAGATCTTGCCTCTCATTCCTGAAGGAGGATTAAAATTCAGAAGAGAGACTGAGTCACTCTTCACCGTCGTCTCTTTCACTCAGTTATAATTTCACCTCTCCAGATATGCTTTGGTAGTGAAATTGGGGCAGGTGTTTGGTTGTCTTTTCTTGTTGCTAGGAAGTCATTGCTCATTATTACTTGCACTTAAGCTTGACTGTTCATTCTTATCCAGAAATGAATATGTGGTAGAATGAAAGACACCCCCTTTTAGTTTTTCTTTCTTACAAGGTGAGGGTATAAAATATGAAGACATAAGCTTGAAGAAATGTTGCATTTGTGCCTATCTTCAGATCTGCAGTAAGAGACCATTCCTTCTGCACCTGCAGTCTGCACTCTTAAGTGAAGGCTGTACTCCTTCCTTCTTCAAGGTATTAACTAACCATGGATGTAAACGGCCAATTCATTAATACATAGACCTTGTGTATGAGGAACAAGTGAAGGAAACCACTGAATTTATTCCAGTTAGCTTGTGTCCATGACAGCTTGTATATGTTTATGGTTTTCCAACTGACATTTAGCCATGGGAATAGCATGACTTGAAATAGAATCTTTTATGAGAAATGAGCAAAAAGGGTGAAAATCTTTGCAGTGATTTTTGTGACTGTGCCTTAAAGCAAATAGGATGGAATGGTGTGTTATTTAGGCTTCTGCCTTATGTAATGGAGTACATGTCATTTTAAAAGAGAACTAGGCTTGCAAGAGTACAGGTTAATTTCCATGCCTAAGATACAATAGATGCATCTTCATGAAATTTATAATTGGATTTAAAAAAGATGTATTATGATCACACAGCTTCACAATAATGTGGTAATGCTAAGATTTTAAATATGTTTAAGTTTTGTATACATGCTCTATCATAAATTCCAGCATTCCTCTAGTTGTCAGGGGCCTAGAAATGAAATTGATCATTTCATTATTCTTTATCATTCTAATTGCTTCCATTAATAAGATGAAATGGAAGATGGAAAAATCTATTTCAATTCTTCAATATGAGCTAACATCCAAAGAATGGTTTATTGGGGCACTATTTTCTTATACAACTTGATTTACCTTTATTGTTGTTATTCTTTATATTTCTCTACTGCCCTTAGCCCAAAGCTATCTGGATGGTTCACAACATTGTTACCCATCCAGATTTCAGTCAGGCCTGAGCCTGCTTCGTTTCCCAGATTAGGCAAGGTCAGGCACTTGGAAGCTACTTTTTAGTGGTATTGTCAGTGTCTTCAACTGTTTGTCTGCTGAATGGATCTTGGAAAGTAGCCATCTGTTTGTTTTTAAACTTATGTATTCCAGGAAATATTTCTTCATTCAAAGAGCTGCAGGTACTAGGGCCTAAACTCAGGGCTAGTTCTTCTAACCATTAGATGAAGTAAACTCGTGTCCTGTGGTAAGGGGTGGAAAATGTGCCATTTCATAAGTTAATTGGTCAAAAAATCAGTGTGTACCAATGGAAAATACATATTAGGCAAACTTGGCAACTTGAAAGTTTCAATGTGATTTGTTATTTATTTATTTATTTGCAAAATTTGTAAAGGTAAATAGATTCTGGAATGGTAAACAATAAAAGATGAATAAATTAGGATTAAAGGGTTTTAAAAAGAAACAACCCCTCTTATCAGAATACTGAAACAAGCCATGGTTGGTAAATCAGATAACTTTTTGTTAAAATGAGAATGTCTTCAGCCAAGGTGGGGAATTCCACAGAGACTGTGGAACAGAGTGTGGATTATGGACCTGCTGTTACCTCTAAAAAACATGTAAGAGAATGCATATTTGTAATCAAAATACATATATGTCTCAAAGTTAAATGAAGGACATAAATAGTGACAATGAAACTGAAGGTGCCTCAGTAATGTTATTGGAAGAAATTGAACTCTATTGAAAGAGGTGAGTTATTGTCAGCATATTGTATCCAGTTCTTAATAAAATCTATTAAGATGCAGTTTAGTGGGGTGCTTAGCTTTCAGACATGGAAGATTATGAACATCCTATTCAGGTGATCGCTGCCTCCTTATTCCTCTCACCTTGTAAGTGAGGTGCCTGGTTTTGGCCATCTGCTTGTAGTGCTTTGGATGGGAAGAGAAGAGGCTGACATGCCACCAGGACATGTTGTTTCCTGGTAGACCCAGTCTCAACCTATGTTCCACTTTACTTTTCTCTGGTGTTGCTCTTATGACTTTGGAAAAGCAGCTGATGTGCTTCTTTCTAGGCCAGCTGCAAGCTGAGAGTTGCTTCCCTAAGTGGGATCCTGAATTCAGTCATATTTTGAACACTCCCTAAGTGTATGTGTACTGTACTGTTCACTTACGAACTTACATTGCTCACTGAAATAAGAACGTATCTGTAAGTTATTGATTGGTTTATAAGATAGTTCTTAGTCTGTGAAAGAAGAGACTCCTGAAATGTATGCAGGGAGTAATTGTATGCCTCCCAAAAGAGTAGGGTCTAAGCATAGATCCCTGGTTCTGAAGTATACTTTCATACCATGTAATAGAAGTACAAGCTGCAGCCTTAACTTTTTTATATTATACATACTTGCAGTATATTGGGACAAAATATAACTTGGGATACTCTTTAAATATATTTTAACCAAATTCAAGTAAAACAAACATGCTGAATTAGATACCTCTAGGACAGGAGTGAGTGACTTGTCCTCACGATATCATGACCTATGGCTCATTAGCTGCAACCTGCTTAAGCAATGGTGAGCGATTGTAAGCCAAAACATTTGCATGGTCACAAGATACCCACTCTTTAAGACATCAGAATATTTTCCAGTCAAACTGAACATTTTTCTATGTGAATTGGCTCTATACAAATTAACCTAATGAAAATATTCCAAAAAAATATACATTGCTGCCTGTGTAGGGATTGCTTCTGGTGGCTTTTTCTTCCTAGTCAGGAGATAAGCCTTATGGCTATGGAGTGTGCATGTTTAACTCATCCCTGCCTGCTCCTTTCTCTTTCAGCCTCCACTGTTCTTAAAAAAAATCTTGCATTAACTGGGCATGTCAGTTCTGTTTTATCATAAGCTGCCTTGATGACCTGTTGTTTGACTCAAAGCCAGAATGTAAATGTTTTAAGCTAAACATTATATAGCTCTGCACCTTGAAAACTGGCAGCCCTGAATGCTTCTGTCTAGACTTCTCCCTGATGTGCTAGGTTTCTGTGTGCTCAGATTTATTGTTTAAATAAAGGGATGTGAATCCTGACCTACATTATGAAGAGGTACAGCACAGTTGAAGTTACGTTCACATTTCATTGGGATAACTAGGTCTCAGTTTATGCAGCTCCAATGGCCAGCCTGTTGGACCTCAACACAGACTCATTCAGGATGTGATCTAAAATGTATTTTACTGTGGAAGTTCAGAGGGCATCTGTCAGGCTGCAATGTTGGGAAACTCTTCTTTCATTACTCATCTTTCCACTGAAGAGCTACTAATGTGTGTCTAGGGAACTCCATAATTGGTTAGAACATAGATTGAAAGTCACTTAAGTAGGTTTGTGGCTGCCAAAATATGACAACTTTCCTTGCAGAAGAGTCCTAAACATGTTTCAGGCACTACATTTGTGACTTTGGTCTTCAATGCTTCAGGACATACATGATCTGAAAGTTAACACCACAGTAAAAAAAACCCCCAACCTGCTCTCCTAGGTTCTATTGAACATTTACTGTCTTCCATGAACCTCAGGCTGGGATTTAGAGAGCCCTTTGCATACACAGGGGTTACTCGTTTCTCCTTTCAGTTAGAGCCTTTAAATTTCAGGAATTACTTCTTAGAGTAGGCTTTGGGAAGCTAGGGGAGGTCTGGGCTGCTGAAAAGCTCTAGTGCACTTTTGGCTCTAAGCCAGAGGTAAGCAACATGTAGACCAAAACATCTGAAGGCTGCAATTCTATCAATCCTAGCCATAACTAATGATGAGATATGATGAGAGCAGTAGGCCAGAGGATCTCAAGATGTATACCCTTGACTTAGAAACTGGAGTATAAAGTTTATACATACATGGAACTTCAGTCTTCGGGTAGTTTTGCATGATATAATGTAGCTTTACAGTTTTGGGGGACTTGTCAAAAGTACTAGTTCTATAATATTTTGTTTTTGCGTTGACTTAGGACTCTGAATTTGTACAGTGCTTTGAACAAAATGAATGTTTACAAACTACATTTGCTTTATTTTGTAGAACATAATATTAAATTTTAGTGCTTCCAACTTTAGCTAGTATCTGCAAATCTACATCTCTTTGAGTGTCTAAAGATAATAGATGTTAAACTAATCCCACCTGCCTAAAAGTCCAACCCGCTGTGTTTGAGTAGTTCAGAAGTTTCTTCTCAGATGGGCTTGATGCTTTAATCTAGGAAACTTTAAAACAGCATGACTCATACGTTTTGTGCACAATTGTATGTGTCACCTATCACTTATCACCAAAGTTTCTGTTAAAACTGCATACCACCTTTGTGACAATTAGTAGTAACTGATTTTAAAAAAATGAGATTAACGTAACATAGAGCAAGTTGTTTCAGAGAAGAGGGCCAAGATCTCTTCTGCATCATCCCAGACTGCAGAACATGAAACAATGGGCACAACTTACAGGAAGTCAGATTCTGGTTGAACATTAGGAAAAACCTCCTGACTGTTAGAACAATATGACAATAAAACCAATTACCTAAGCAGATAGTGAGCTCTCACACACTGGAGGCATTCAAGATGTATCTTGACAGCCATCTGTTAGGGATACTTTAACTTGGACACTTGCACTGAGCAGAGGGTTGGACTGAATGTCCTTATTGGCCCTTTCCAACTCTACTCTTCTGTGATTCTGTGATATGGAGGTGAGTGTGTTTGAGTTAGATCTTTATTTGGAATATTGAGGCTTGTAGTAGGGTTGCACATTAGAGCAGGCAGCGAATATTTGGTCAGATGTTGTAAAAGCACAATCCTCTATGCGTATAACTTTTGAAGTTGGAGGTTTATGAGTAATCAGTGCAGAGTAAGAGGAGCAGAGAAGTGATGTTCGCTACCTCATACCACCACCTCTGCAAATCAGCTAGATGTTGCCCTCATTAATCCCCTCCCCCTTTTGTGGCTCTTTCTGATAGCCAGTAGCAGAGGCAGTTTGCTTATGTATACCACTCGCTGTGGAACATGGGCAGGAAGGTTGCACTCATGGCCTGATTGTGGCTTCCGATACAGTGAACAAGAATGCTGGACTAGCTGGACTCTTGGTCTGATCCAGCACTACTCTTCTTCTGTTCTTAAACATTTCTTATCTAGAAAGCAATTTCTAAAGCATGAATGGTAAACAGTCTTGCATGGTTTCTGTAGACCATCTTCTGAGAACAAGCCTAGCACCTTAATTTATTTATTTATTTATTTAATTTATTAAAACATTTCTATGCCACCCCTTGCCGAAGCCGCGGGGCGGCTCACAACACAAAATAAAATACAATAAAATACAAAAATAACAATATAAAATTAACAATATAAATAATTATATTGTTAATAAAATAATTAACAATATAAAATAAATAACAATATAAAATTGTTATATATAAATAACAATATAAAATTAATTCTGATTTGTTCTGAAGCAGGTTGCAACGAATGGTGGAACCATCTCTTTCAGAGATGCCACAAAGGTTTTGTATCTGAAAAGCAATGTTGTCAGTCACTTTCAAAAGCCTGGTGCTGTGGTTGTCCTGTCCTGAATAAATACAACACATGATCTGAATCTTTCAGTAACATCTCATAGAGATGCACTGGAGCATAAAATAAGGCAATTCTCCATAAGCAGTTATTTGCATTTTTAAATGTTCTATCCTGACTTTCCTTGTGAAAAGAGAAACTAAAATAGCTAAACTAAAAAATATTGACCTACTAGCTTTTTTTGTTATAATTGGGATCAAAAATGTGGATAGTCATAGAATTGTATGGCTTGGAGTTCATAGATTTTTCAGAGCTAGTATATCACTAAGTTGCAACTTCTAGCTTCTGCTGATTATGAGGCTGCAACTGAAGTGGGGAAAAAGATGATGAGGCAGAAAATGGCAGAGGTGGAACAAATGATGACATGGGCAAAGGCAAGGCCCTTCAAACTTAAATGCTCTTACCTTGTTAAAGTTGCAGTTCTGTGCAAGTTTAGTCAGAAGAAAATTAGTCCCTCAATTCCCAGCATATCCCAACCAGCTGTGCATAAATCCTTAATATTGTGAAGTGTCACAGCACTGGGTACAAATGAACAAAATAAGCAAAAAATATGTTAGTGTGTGTCCTCTACAGGATGACAAGTATATCCAGATCATTCATGCAAATTGTGCCACATGGGAGAACATAGATAAATCAGTTTAAAAGATAAGCATGGCAGTGTTAGGGAACAGTCCAGTAAAGATGGGCATCATATGCAGGGCAGAAGGCACACGAGGCAAACATCACCTCTGCACTCCTTTTGCCCCGTAAAACAACTAGATGGCTCATTCTAGCAATCTAAATGGGGCACCATGGAGCAGGAGGAAGGAGGCTGAAGTGTCATCAGGATATGTTGTACCTTGGCAGTATTTGTCTCCTTCCCTCCACCCTCCAGAATGCCCCCTAAAGCCCATCTTCAAGGTTGCTCAGGAGAAGCAGCTGACATGTTTTTTTTTCCTCCATGTTGGCTGTACCAGTGTTCCATTAAAACATTCCTCTAAGATAGGCAGGCTGTTACTAGTTTTAAATTGTAGTTAGAGGGTTGAGGTTATAAAGCATAATGATTTGCCTGAGTCCACCTTGCTCAGCTCCACATGTTGAGTTTGTAGGTGAGGTGAGACCTGTACCAGGGACTTTGTGGTTCATGCTTTTGTGGTTCATGCTGGTCTGTTTCACTGGCTTAAAAAAAACCAAATCATCCACCTCTCAGGAACATCACAATTGAGTAGTTTCTGTAATTTGAAGATTGGCTAGATCACAAGCATAAAAATATGTTTATTGAAGCTTTATATTTTCTTATACTTCATTTCTTTGTAAATAAAATTATATTTTATGAGTCTGAGATGCTTGGATACATAATATTGTTCATAATGTAGCTAATTATTTGTTGTGATTTATGTTAAATATTACTTGAAAATGAGAGCAGCAAGTGAAGTGGAATGAAGAGGGTTTTTTGTACTTATGTGGCTGAATTGCTTTGGCAAACATCTAAACCACTTAAATTCTACTTGTTTCATATTCAAGTAGTCTAAAAAATTTAACTTCCCGCTCCTAGTTTCTTGGTTTGAATAGCTTTTGTGTGCTTTATAATAGTTTAATGCCTATTGAAGAAGCATATTGTGTTCTTAAACTTTCTAGGTTTTTGGAATTACTGAGGTTGCAGAATAGTTAAGGCATACTTTCCTGATAGATTCTCTGCTGCTTTCTTTGATTAGCCATGCATAGTATTCTACTATACTTTGGTAGAGCATATGTGGTATTTTCAAATTATTGAGATGTTACTTAGAGATGTGATACGTTTATGTGTTCCACATACGATACACATTACATAGAATGTTGAAGCAGCATTATGAAGTCCACAAGAGTTTCTACTACAATAAATGTATTAGTTTGAAGGAGCTACTGAAGTTTGTTCCAACAAACTAACACATCTACTCCTCTAGAATAAGCAATTAGTTTAAACTAGGGCAGTTGCATTCACAATGCAAGCTTCCATTCTCCAACCATGTAATACATGAGCAGGTTAAAGGTATGCTGGAAAAAATAAAAGCACAAAGAAATAAATGCCCACTACACATAGGCTGCTCAGAATAAACAGCCACATCGGTTTTGGAAAGTCATCTTATTTTGTAGCATATTTATGGACTTAGTTGAGATCATGACTGTAGATCTCTTACTGGGAAATATCGGTGCTGACTGGATACAGAGGTTATTGAGCAATGTGTATTTGGCCAGTAACTTGGAAATTGCCTTTAGGAAAGTGTTTATACACCAATATTGTTTACAGAACATAAGAGTATAGCATTGCAGCCTGTATTTCAGTTTCAAGAGTCTACTTCAGCTGCTGCTCAATTTGGGAACTAGAGAAGAGGTGTGAAATGATGAAAAACTTGCCAAAAACGATTTTTTAAAGTTACACAATGAAATACATTTGGGCTGTTTTCACAGCCATTAGAATGGTGAAACTTAATCCCCTGACTTGTACCAACTTCTACAGTGCTTAACAAAGTAGTGGAGAGTATACACAAATGCTGAGTGTGTTAGTCTTATGTATTGTGCAAAGTCCATTGAGTAAAGCAGGTTCTAGAATCAATGTGCAGGTAAGAAAAACATTTGATAGCCTGAACGTAATTTGCTATAGCTTGGAAAACAGCATTGACATACTGATTTGCCCAAGGGCAATTTTAGCTTTTTATAAATGGTCTCATACTTAATAAGCTGCTTGCCGTGTCCCTACTATACTCTGTATCTCATAATGGCCAAATGTCTGTCATGCATTAATGCCTATGATTTTATTTTCTGCTTTGAAATAATTTTCAGGTGTCCCCATGCTTAGATTTCTAAATGTTATATTTCTGCTTTTTGTTTTAGGATGTGGATGGAGATGAAAGATTTGGAGAACTAGACCTCAGAAATGATTCAGAAGTTCCTGAAGTTGTTCCATCAACAGACAGCACCCCAGAAATTTTAAAGAAGGCCCTTTCTGGCTTATCTTCCAGGTATTGAGGGAAAACTAGTTCATCTGGGCAGATGTTAGTGTAAAATTAGTTTATCAAAATTAGGCTATATGCAAGCTAAAATGTGTTGTTTATGCATTTTGAGTTGCTCTGTAGCCATTACTTCATTATACATAGGCAGTACTGCTACACGCCCAGACAATGCATAAATGATCTGCAGTAGGATTGCTCTCCCTGCTCCTCTCAGTCATTACAGAAAAAAATCACAGTGGCTGCTTTTTCAAGGTTGTAAGAGCAACCTCAGTGAAGTGGTTCTTGGTGGAAAAGGACTGGTGTTTCCAGGATGGCATGTATCTTACCAACACTTAAGCCTCTTTCCCTTCCCCATCAGAGTACTACAGTTACGTGGATGAAAATCAGCCATCTAGCTATTTTGCAGAGTGGGTAGAACACAAAGGTACCTTCATCTCTGCTTCTTCTGCTCTGCGAATGTCCATAATCCTTTGACGCTGGCAGTCCGTTTGCCATCAGGCAGTCATCTGAATGCTGTGGTCAGACATCAACCCAATTCTAGTTTCTGGAGTTTGAGCAAACCTCAGTGTGATTGCTATTTAAAAACATTTCTATGATAAGCTTCAAAATAGAGTAGTTCTGTATATGCCACTAGACCAGTGATGGTGAAGCTATGGCTCTGTGTGCCCAATGCAGAGCCCTCTTTGTCGGCACGTGATTGCCCCAGCAGCCTTGTCCATATTCGGAAAGATTAAGGACACCAGGCAGTGAGGTCACACATTAGCCACAACTCCTCGAGCTTTCGCGTGGCCGGTAGGAAATACACTCAGATAGGAAATACACTCAGATGCCTTTTTTAGGACCGGCCAGAAACTGGAGGTCAGTGGAACATTGCTCCCTTGTGCTGGTGGTCAGCAAATTCGAGTTTTATTGCAGTGTTGGCACTTTGTGATAAATAAGTGGGTTCTGATTTGCAGTTTGGGCACTCAGTCTCTAAAAGGTTCACCATCACTGCACTAGACTGTTGTAAAGTGATTAACACGTATAACGTACTAAATCTTTTTGAGTATGCATAAATAGGATTGGATTGACATTGTTGTACTCTAATCTAAAAACAGAATTTGTTTTAAAATTAATACAAAAATGTTCAGCTTTTCCTACGAGTTCAGTATTCCTGTGCTTTGAAAGTAATTTCCACAATTGGGTATAAAGCAGGTTCAGAAATCAGAAGTTTAATTTGATTTTTTGTGTACATTTCCCTTTGTAGATGGAAGAATTGGTGGATTCGTGGAATTTTAACTTTAGCTATGATTTCAGTTTTCTTCTTGATCATATACATGGGATCATTTATGCTCATGTTGCTTGTAAGTTTACTAAACTGTAAGATTTATTCACTTGATTCACCTAGCTGTGAAAACAATCAATTTATCAATTAGTTCAGTTTTGTATCCTGAATTTGCCTTTCCTGTTTCCATTTTGAAACTCAGGCTACATGATCAGCAATATCATATGAGCACCTATTAGGCCTGAATGTCTCTTTTACTTTTCTTAACCAGCTTTATGTGGGGTTCTTGTTGGAAATGTAGACTCCACAGCCAGCTACAACCTGAAAAATCTATAGCCCTGTTAGGCCCGCTAAACAGATGTTCATGTAGAATGTGATGGCCCTCTATTGTGCTGAATGGGGAAGCCCACACACAGAAGTTTAAGTGTTGTTGTGATTCTCTTGGGTTGAACACATCCATCAGTATGACAAGATTATGTTAAAAACTGTGATTTAGATAAATTTAGTTTTCATATCCAAACTCTAGGAATGGTGATAATATGAATAAGATGCATTTTTACAGCAGAGGACAATGCATATATAGAATTTATTGATCCTTTTATTCTAGGTCTTGAGCATACAAGTAAAATGTTTCCATGAAATCATCACTATAGGTTACAGAGTCTATCGTTCTTATGACTTGCCTTGGTTTAGAACACTAAGCTGGTAAGTAACAAGTAATGCTTGAACGTTTGTTTTTGCAAACGAACTTTTCCTTTTATATTTCATAAGGTTAATTTTCTAGTGAAAGCAAACACCTAAGAGTTAATGATTCTGCTTTGAACCACTGACTTCTGTGGGGCTTCAGTTCAAAATATGTTTCTTCTATAGTTAAATATTAACAAGACATTTGAGAATCTGTCCAACTGAATTAATCAAATATTAGTATGATGGACACTGTTAACAGAATTATATTATTCTGTATTTTCACCCCAGCTTTAAAAATCTTTTAATCTGCCTTGAAGCATGATGCATAGTTTGCATCATGTTCTGAATAGACAGAATGTTGGGGTGTTGCTTGTCTAAACTGAGTAAATTTCTGATCATTATCTTTTCATTTTTTAAGATCCAACAATACGAAAAGAAAAAAACAAATGTTTGTCTTTCTTCTCACAGAGTAACTGTTCTTTATATTGCAGGTATTTCTTATTATGTGTGAACTATTTCTTTTATGGAGAGACTGTGGCAGATTACTTTGCCACATTTGTTCAGCGACGAGAGCAACTTCAGTTCCTAATTCGATATCACCGATTTATATCCTTTGCACTTTATCTGGCAGGTAACTTAGTACATGTTGCCAGTGCCCCTTGTATTTTCTTTTAGTACTATGTAATATGCCTTTACATTCAGTTTCTTGGGTTCTAGTCTTCTGTGCTTGGTTAAGGCATGATCACCTTAAAATGTTGGATGGAAAAGTTGCACAAACATTCTAATAATTTTCAGGATAGGTGCTAACTCCCACTTGCACAGTTAAAGTGAGAACATAACTTGCAGAACTAATATCTCTTCTACTTGGGCTCTGAAAGAATTAAGCTTCTGAATTTAGATAGCATATTAAGACATAGTCAGACTAAGTGCTAAAATCCCACAGTAACATGGTAGACCAGAAGCAGAGTCATGGTGGACTGCAGTCCATCAGTAGACCACTTCAAGGTCCAGTGGATTTCCTTGTGCTCGCTGGTTGCAGGAACTCTTGAAAAGAGTAGTGGATGAAGTTGACCTTGGCCTGGACCTGCAAAGCATTTACATTCTACAACAAGTTTGGGTTAATTATGCTGTAACTCTTAAGCAGTTTGGAGTTTTGTAAATAAAATGTACAGTAGTGGATCATGGAGATTTTATTTGCTTTTTTAAAAGTAGTAAAAGTGGGCAAGACAGGCTGCTGGAATATCCCTAGTTTAGATCAATTAAGGTTTTAAAATGCTTCCAGAAAATCCTCTGGCTTTGGCAATCGGGGGGAGGTATTTCTACCACTTTGAAACTATTGCTGACATCTCCTTTTAATGTGCTTTTGCATTCCAAAACTGCAACTAGGTCAGATAGTCAAGAGGTGGTGTTGGCCTATTTGAGAAATTTCATTAAGATGTAAGGTGTAATGAAGACCTCATTTGGCTTGTATGTTAATAAGGGTGCCACCAGCTTGAGTATATAAGACTTGTGCCATTTCTGGGTTTTATCAAAAACTGCTCATACAGAAACATAATATGAAGGCATTGTGCCTTAAACCAATTGCAGAAAAATGCAGTGCTAGATGCAGACATTATTATATTCAGGAAGAACACTTGCATTCGCTGAGAAGTGCATTTTTTGTCCATTGTGTGTGAGGGGTAGGATTAGCAGAATGCATTCCCTTGCTCAGGTATACCTGCCAATCTTGGAACATACAAGAGGGGCCTGCCTGGATGAAAGTACTTCTATTTCAGCACAGCTTTGACTGCTTCTAGTGCAGTGCATGAAGCTGAGGCAACATCACCCGAAGTTTCCCGTTAGTACTAAGAGAGATGGAAGATAAGGGAGCTGTTTGACCTGCTAGTGCAGCTGTTTTCTTAAAAAACAGCCTGGGTCTTCCCTTGCTTGTGTAGTGCTCACAAGGGAAACCCTTCCCTTATTTCTAACCCCTCTTCAGAGGTCAGAGATAAAAAGTCCCCATTCTTAGCATTAGCAAGGGGAAGCCCTATCTGGGAGGTGGCAAGTAAAAAAAAATCAGAGTTTCCGCTTAGAGTTGGTGAGGATAAGGCTGACAGTTGAAAAAAGTGGTGAGGACACCTAATAATGGAACTCTTTTACTGCTAGTCTAGGTTGTGTTTCTTAACTGTAATTAGAATAAAGTTGCAAAGAATGCACCTGTCTTCTGTTTCTTGCACAGGTTTCTGTTTGTTTGTACTGAGTTTGGTGAAGAGGCATTATCGTCTGCAGTTTTACATGGTGTGTATCGATCCTATAGCTGCTCAGAGTAATAAGCATTAATCCATTTTTGTCACTCTTGTAGGATAATGTTGAAAATATAGTTTCGGACCTTGTGAACAAAATTCATAGTATTCATCCCATACTGTTGATACTCATTTGAAATTGAGCTGTGATAGAAATGCCTTTTGGCACTGTGTGATCATAGTATTTTGCTTCTGTAAGACTATCTGCCAATTTAGTCAGCAACACTTTGGAGACCCTGAAATTCTTACACTCTGTGGACAGGTAGGAAAACAATGTATCAGAATGTTCATACAGTACAATTAGAAAAGGATTGCTTGGCATTTAATGGTGAGGTTGCCAATATTTTGCATCTTCCTTCAGATGCACCTTAATGCAATAGCTGTTTTGGGATGCTTTCATACTGCACTGCTTCATGGGGTGGTTTCAGAATTGGTTTGTATTTTTCCCAGGTGATAAAAACATGGAAAACTACAAAAGGTGCACCAATACTATAACATTTTCAAATAAAGGCTGTCTACAAGTTACTCCTCAAAAATCACCATCCTATATATCGGGTGGTCAATGTTGAAAACTCCAGCCCTAATTTCTATGTCCTTGTAACCCTCCCCTCCATTGGTTGCATTTGTGGGCTTTCCCCCCTGAACAAAAAAGTGCTCCAGTCAGCATTGATTTGGTTGATCTTAAAAAGAAAATCCCCTGGGGTAGCGGGGGGTAGCAGAGGCTCTTCTGGAGGATGGTGGGTCACCTGTGACTTGGGCTCCCCTAATAAATATGCCAATATAATCATGGAGATTGAAACTGTATATCCACTTATCATGAGATGATACATCATAGTGACTAACATGATTGCATGATTGTGATCACATTTGGGAATAACAACGTGGGGAAATGTGGCCAGGGGGATGCATGTGTGAACAAACCCTGAGCATTTAATGCTTCATAGCCTATTATGATAATGGATATATCAGGAATTGTTATTTAATTGTACAAGCAACACTAGAGATGGCAAATTAGTTTCTTGACAAAGGACTCTTGTTTCTTCTTTAATGCTTATGCAATTTAGATCCTATGTGCTAGTCAGTAACTTGTAAGAACTAACTTCTGTGTTGATAAATTTTCATAATTATGTAGCATGATTTCACCATAACCTTGTCACAAACATCTTATTGTTCTAATTCTAAATTGTGTGTCTCATGTATACACAGAATATCTTGCAGCTTGCCATCTTCAATTTCATTCACGTTAAGATACATTTTTAAAGATCTTCTAGTTCTCAGATGGAAAATTTGTATACATTTTAACTAGAAGTCTCTCTTCATAACTGTCTTGTGTTAGATCAGGGCTCTCAAACTCAACTTACCTGGTGGCTGCTGGAAGTAGAGTCTGGGTGAGGCTGGGCTGCATCAAGTATTCCACCACCATGGTGGTGGTTGGCCGCTCATCCAGAGGCCGGCCCGGGCGCCACCGGCGCTTTGAAGGCCGCAGGGCCCCTCCCCCGTGCCCCACCCATCCCGGCAATTGGCCTGCGGGCCGCGAGTTTGAGACCCCTGTGTTAGATATTAATGCTGTTAGATTGTGATGATGTTTGTGCACACCTCATCAGAATGCCTCTGTAGCCCTTTCAGCCAAACTACCATTTTTATTTAGGTGTATTGATCTGTGCGTTGTCACTAACTGTTGTGTTATTGCACTGTTAACAGTTCGCATGGACTCATGTCACTTTGCTGATCACTGTAACTCAATCCCATCTTGTCATCCAAAATCTGTTTGAAGGCATGATCTGGTAAGGGGACAGTAATTCTTGCAAATCTATGCATATACCTCACTCATCTAAATAATGTGTTTCTAGGTCCAATGATTGTGCTTCAATTCTTTTTAAACATTCTGTTTGCATATATTTGTGAAGTCTCATCCAGGCCGTAAAATATTTGGAAAATAAGTCTAGTAACAAAATAGTCAGATTCAAAATCTTGTTCTAATTGGCATGCTATATGCAATTGGCCTTAGGTTGGCAGTATTATATACTAACCTATTTTAAATCAGTATTAAGAGATGCTGAACCATCACAGAGAAAATAAAGTACCATATCGGCTGTAAATGCATTTTCTTGGATAGATAGCAGAGACATTGGCCCCAAAAACTGCTAGGATTAGGGTTCAAGACCAGAATTATTAGATGAGCCGTAGGTAGGTTTACCTCAACAAGTTACACATATTGTAGAACAACCCAATTCCCCTCAAAACCATTTTGTGTTGTCTGTCCCAATAAACTTAATTAGGTTTATGGTTAAATCCTGAGTAATTTGCGTTGTTGGGAGTGTATAATTGCCCTTTGCTTGGAAAAAGCTGCTAGTTTTATTTTTTAACATGTTGGTTTTTATTATAATTCAGAGAACTGTAATAATTCTGTGTGCTAAACAGGACATTAGACATGCTTTTATTTAACAGGCTCTCCCCCATCCCAAACTGCTTGGCAGACCTCTTTTGAAATGAAGAAATGTTTCAAAGGCAATTTGTCATATAGCATAATATCTTGGCAGGCTCTGATCCATCATTCTTTGTTTTTGTTCCATGAATGAAATTTGACACATGCACTGGGTTAGCACAGGAGGGGCTCTTTGATTCCTGTCTCCTGTTTTCCTGTTGTCCCACTGTTGTCTGTGCTTTAAAATGGAAATCAGGTCTCTTTTGCAAAGAAGAGATCCACATTTTTGTTTGATCAGTTGGCAGGAAGAATAGGGTGGAAGAATCATTGCTGATGACTAGTCAAATCTCATTTATTTGACTTTCAGATATATGAAGTACTTTATATGTCCTAAAGGGATGATAATCATCAGTGATGTGAGACAGAAAACTCTGAGGAAAATTTCCAGGGCTTTATTTTTCTGTGGGGAAAAATCCATTAAAGAAGTTCATTAGTAACAATGGATGCCAACTGCAAATACAATACAATATTACAATACAATTTCCAGCATCCTTAGCCACCTCTTTTAACTGAAGGATGCTGGTCATTGCAGTTAAACATGCCTTGGGGACAGCAGACTAGAAAAAGCTCAGCCAGTCAACAGTTCTTGGCACCTTTGTGTTTTCTTACATTTAAATAAAGGGGAGCACATGCTGTTGTCTTTAAGTTTTTGCAAGTATTACAGTAAAGACTACTGAGTAGGGACTTGGTTTACACAATGAAACAGTGCACCATGTCTTACTTAAGTCACAGTGGGCTGCAGTATGCATGGGCAGCCATTTCATAACCCACTGTTTTGGGGCTCACAAGACATGGGAAGCCACAGCTAGTCATTGAATATGAAAATTCTGCCTGGCACATGCCAGTGCAATACACAGATTAGTAGATAACTGTCCTTATTCACTGGTTCATAATACAGTGCAAAAGGAAAAGAAGACATGTGGGGGGGGAGGAGAAGGTTAAAGATAAAGTATTTTGTTGGTTGCAGGATACTGTTCGTAATAGATAGCTACAATATATTAATACTACATTTTTCAGTTAAAACACTAGTATATATACAAACAAGGTTTAAGCCTATTAGTTTGATATGACACATTTTTATATACACAGGTGTTCTTTACCTGTCTCTGCAGACTTCTTTTTACTGACTTATTTTATAACGTTTAAAATGCCTGGCATGTGCTTATACTGAATTCCCTTGCATAACAAATGATTAGAGTGTTAATTTTGTAAATACTTGCTTTAAAACATGTACTCAGCTTCCTTAAAAAGTGATATTTATGGCAAATTGATAGAACTGAAACTTGGCCAGAAATATTCTAAAAGCCATTCACTCTTCACAACAAATGTCTGTTGATTAAGTTCAATTTAATTTTTATTCTTCTTACCATTCAGGTTTCTTGTTCCAATCTCAAGTGTTATTTGCAACGATATTGCTGCTTATATCTTTGGATTCTTCTTTGGGAGAACCCCATTAATTAAGGTACTAAAGATGATTAAGAAAGAAGATTTAAAGCACTGCATTTATGCTTGGCTTCCAGTTGCTTTCTAAAGATGTACAGCTTTTCTGGCAAATTGCAAGCTGCAGTTATGTCCTGGTGGAGCATTGTTTCCGCAATACTTGGAGGGGTTGCCCCCATTTCTATCCCCAAATAAGCTAACCCAAATTTTGACCAGTTAGAGCCAGCATAGTTGTGATGGGGCTTGCTAATTTTGCCCTCTTTCACATTCTGTTTACATACAGATTGCTTTACTTATTAGATTCTTAGTTATTTTCTACCATTGATTTTCATCAGCATGAATTTAACTTGTTGGAGCATTTCTTACTGTTCCAATTACTAATCAGGTTGCTGTAGGGAGACTGTGGTATGTATGGAATACATTTTTTTTTCTGGTGATTGGAGCACATTGTACAAAATTCAGACATTCTCTTTTCAACATGTTCAGCAATCGACACGATCGCTCCTAAGTGTCCTCTCCCACCTAGCAGAGCCCGCTCGGCACCATGGTATATGCCTGAGTTGTGGGTGATGAAGCAGGCTGGGAGACTGCGCAGGTGGAGGAAATCTTGGGACGAATCTGACCAAACACACTTATGCGCTCGTTATCGAGCCTATGGTGTGGCGGTAAGGGCGGTGAAGAGGCAGTTCTTCTCCGCTTCCATTGCTTCCTCACAGTGCCATCCAGCGGAGCTTTTCCGAATAGTGCAAGGCCTAATACACACTGGCCAGGAAAATGACGTGGTTGCACCTTCGGCAGCCCGCTGTGACGACCTTGCCCAGCACTTTAAGGAAAAAATTGCTCAGATTCGCCGCGATCTGGGCTCCACAGTTGATACTGTTCCAGTACGGGAAGTGTCCAGAGCTCTGTCTGGTCCATCTTTAATGGATGAGTTTCAGTTATTGTGGCCTGATGATGTGGACAAGTGCTTGGGATGGTACGTCCTACCACCTGTCTTCTTGACCCTTGCCCTTCCTGGCTACTTAAGGAGGCCAGTTACGGGATTGGTCCTTGGGTCCAGGAGGTTATTAATGGCTAGAAGGAGGTGGTGATCCATCCTGTCCTGAAGAGGGTATCCCTGGACCCAGAGGTGGCCACCAACTTTAGACCGGTGGGCAATATTCCGTTTTTGGGCAAGATGTTAGAGTGGGTGGTGGCGGGACAACTCCAGGCACTCTTGGATGAAACTGATTATCTGGACCCATTTCAGTCTGGCTTCAGACCCGCTTATGGTACTGAATCTGCCTTGGTCGCCATGTATGATGACCTGTGCAGGGAGAGGGACAGAGGGAGTGTGTCCCTGTTGGTGCTCCTGGACCTCTCAGTGGCTTACGATACCATCGACCATGCTATCCTTCTGGATAGGCCGGCTGACTTGGGAGTAGGAGACTTGGGATAGGTTCCACTCCTATCTGGCCAGCCGATTCCAGATGGTGGTGCTGGGGGGCTATAGCTCTGTGCCATGGCAGCTTTGCCATGGAGTACCACAGGGGTCCATTCTGTTCCCCTTGCTATTTAACATTTACATGAAACCGCTGGGAGAGGTCATCAGGAGGTTTGGGCTGCGGAGTCATCAGTATGCTGATGACACCCAGCTCTACCTCTCTTTTACATCTACTTCAGTTGAGGTAGTGGATGTACTGAAGTGGTGCCTGGCTGAGGTAATAAATTGAGCCTCAATCCAGATAAGACGGAAGTCCTGTTGGTGGGCGGTGTGGGTCTCCAGGGAGGTGATTTTGACCCAGCTCTGGATGGGGTAGCACTCCCTCTAAAGGACAGAGTCCGCAGCTTGGGAGTACTCCTTGACCCAGAGCTGTCACTGGAGTTCTAGGTGGCAGCGGTGGCAAGGAGTGCTTTCCTACAACTTTGACTGATCCATCGGCTGCATCCTTACCTGGATGAGCACTCCCTAGCAGCAGTGATACATGCTCTTTTAACTTCCCACTTGGATGACTGCAACATGCTCTACGTGGGGCTGCCCTTGAAAATGATCTGGATATTGCAACTGGTACAAAATAGAGCTGCCAGGCTGCTGACGGGGACCGGCCATTACTTTCACATAACGCCGGTCCTGTACCAGCTCCACTGCCTTCCAGTTGAAGTCCAGGCCCAATTCAAGGTGCTGGTTTTGACCTATAAAGCCCTAAACGGCTTGGGACCAGGATACCTGAAGGAAGGTCTCCTTCCTTATATGCCCTCACGCCCCTTAAGATCTATGGGAGAAGCCCTACTCCAGGAACCCTCTCTAAGAGAAGTAAAAAGGTCATCAATGCAGAGTAGGGCCATCTCTGCTGTGGCGCCCAGGCTCTGGAATGTACTCCTCGGAAAGGTATGCCTGGCGCCAAGTTTATACTCTTTTCAGTGCCAGCCCAAAACATTTTTATTTAAACAGTATTTTCAACTTTAGTAGTTTTTAAGTTTAGTCGCTCTGTTTGTTTTGCGATTGATTGTTTTGTTCTGTTTTATTATTTATTGCAATTGTTGTTTTACTTGTCTTTTTAAATATTGTAAGCTGTCCTGAGATCTTGTATAATAGGACGGCATACAAAAGCTTTAAACAAACAAACAAACTTGCTGGTCTTGCCAGCATTCAGAGCATGAGTAGTGTCTGCTGGCAAAATATGTTCCTGCAGTCTGTTAGCATTAATAGTTTGCTTGCCAGGAGCATAATTTTGCTTAGTGACTTGCAGGTATCTGTTTGATCATGCTTGTGATAACACTACTGAGGTCAGCCACGATTGACTTACCCATCCCATTTGTAGGAGGATTTTTCTTAATTTCTGGGTATTACTTAGGGAAGGATGAGTATTCCTGTGTTATATGTAGCTGCACATATTACTTTCAAAGTAGTACTGCATTAGATTTAATTGAACACTAGGTATAACAGCAGCAGAGCTGTTTATTTTTCTGTTGTGTTTTTTCCTGGCACTTGTGTAAAAGTTTGAAAACAAATGTCAGCATTTTCATAGGAATGGTCATGCAGTAAAAATTGTTGCAGTAAAAATTGCAAGGAGCTTTGTGATATCTTGAAGTGATATCTTGAAAACTATAACTTGTTTGTTTCTCTTGTTAATTAGTTGTCCCCGAAAAAAACCTGGGAAGGCTTCATTGGTGGCTTCTTTACCACAGTTGTGTTTGGTTTCATTGTAAGTGGATGTATCATTTTTCATTTCTCGTCCTGGTTCACTTACATAGTTCACCTGGAAAGGAGTTCCACAACTGTGGTTCTTCTTCATGGTCCCTGTGCATCACACATGTGGGTGCTGCGCCTGCACAGTGCCTGAGTTTGGGAAGATTCCCCTAGCTAAGTGTATAATTTTTGGTGGGAGCCCCGCCCCTCTGCTTCTAGTATAAATTGGCGGGACTCCTGCCCTTCATTAGTTCACTTTTGACTGCTGTTTCACTGTGCCAAACTTGACTGAGTAATCTTAAGGGCGTGCTTATGAACCCTCTAAAGTTTGTTCGTATGGGCAGGATCGAAAGAATAAAATAATATCAGATGTATAAGTGGTAATACCTCACTAAGACAGATGCACAATGTGGTGTGCTCTTGATGCTGTCAAACAGTGTACTGAGGCTTCTTATTCTTCAGTCTTGGAAAGTGATGGTAGCAAAGAGGGACTCCAGAGGACAGCTGTCCTTCAGAATCATCTTCCAGTCCAATAGGCATTGCCTCCATGCCCAGGCGTGTGGGGACTGATACGATATGGCAAAGGATTTTGATTTTCCATCAAACAAGAGGCAGCCTGAGGAAGCTGATTTCTTTTAGTTGCATATTTGAGATAGCCCACATGGATGTGAAGCTCAGAAGAGCAAATGTTCTTTGGGTTTGCATTCTGTCTCAGTGGGAGGAAGGACTAATCCTTCGTTTCCGCTAGATTGAATAGAAACAGTGTTTGGGCAATTCAGGGAAAAAGTGTCTCATGATGAAAAAGATAACAAGATAGCCACCAAGCAAACTTCTTTGCGGGAGGGCATATCCATGATAGATGGAACAACCAAGAAAATTCTATCTGTGGTCACTACCCATCTGAGTTCAGATGGCAGGAGAACTTAGAAGGCTTCAGAAGAAGAAAATACAATGCATACACTCCATGGAGTGGCATGGGCATGTCCATGGCAGCAGTAACACATCATTCCACATAGCCTGTAAACCATCCCTTAGATATGACCATGGGAGTAGTGTATTCTTCCCATTTTTCTTATATTACATGTCTAGTAATTGTCACAAACATCTAATGGATGGATTTCTATTGTACTTTTCAGGTTGCCTACCTTCTGGCCCAGTATCAGTATTTTGTATGTCCTGTGGAATACAACAGTGAAACAAATAGATTTGTCACAGAGTGTGAGCCATCAGAACTATTCCAGTTACAGAAGTACTCCATACCATCCCTGCTGCAGCTTGTGCTGGGAAGAGTAAGTAAAACTAAAACTTCAGTCTTGAAATCAGAACCTTGGATATAATGCTTTCTAGGAGCCAGAGTCCATGCGTCTCTCTCTTTCTTTTAGCATTTAGATCAAGTAGAATAGGAAAAATATGTACAAAAGTCTTTCAACAGTTTTCCTATAGTGCAAGAGTATGCTAAGGTATACCAAATTATTGCTACGCTCTTGTAATGATCATCTTCCCATTCTTAGAAAGTCTGTACCTGTTTTTATACACTCAAATCAGCTGAATGGGTAAAAGTAGAAGCAGAACAGGTAGAAATGTATATAGGAGGCTTTTGAATAATAGGTCAAGAGTGTCCGTCCTTCACACAAACATGATGGCAAAGCATCTGACCAAGCAACTGTTCTCTGGATTTGTGAAGATATCACTGGCTCCATGAACCTTTCCCAGAACTATGACTTCCATTTCGATTACAAGATTGTGTTTTCTGGTCTGGTTTGTTCTCACTTTGGAAATCTGTGCGTCTCTTACTTAACTGGGCTGACAATGGTGTTGCAGCAGCATGCTGCCTTCCATGTAGACAGGTTGAGAGTTCCATCTAGCCTGTTCAGGAATACCTTTTTGGAGGCATTGTTGGTGTAGATGAGCAACTGGCAGATAGGCATTCCAGGTCAGAAGGCCACAGGCACCAGTGTGCTGGTTGATTGCTCTCAGTTCAAGCCTGGTTTTGGCCTGAACCCCCTGTATGATGACCTATACTGGGAGCGAGTCAAAGGGAGTGTGATCCTATTGATACTGCAGGACCATTTTGGTAAATCATTCCCTGCAACTTCATAATTTTCATCTGCTTTGAAGGTTGCCTCTAGTGCCTTTCTTCTAGCCCAAAAGCAGCTGGTCTGAGAAGGTTAACAGCTAGAAAAGGAAGATGTTAAAGATTGGCCCACTCTTCTAACCAGGAAGAAATGCTCTCGCATGTAGAGACTGGCTTCCATATATTTGGGATAGATCAGGGGATTGGCTGGATAGTGTTTGTCTGGCCTCTGAGATTACTCAAGTTGATCCCAGCCAGGACTTACTTACTTGCATATTGATGATGAGCAAAACTAGTTCAGTCATACAAAGTGCCCTCTGCTGCTTGAAGATTTTAATCCTTTAATGTGCTGAAGAATATACCTGTGTGAAGGGGTATTGCGGGGAGAGGATCTTGTATTGCATAATGTTCAGAGAAATTGATTACCATGATGGTTTCCTCTAGGAAACAGTGAATATGTACCCATTCCAGATGCACAGCATTGCTCTGTCAACATTTGCATCCTTAATTGGGCCATTTGGAGGCTTTTTTGCCAGTGGATTCAAAAGGGCTTTCAAAATCAAGGTATGTTGCAAGATATGGACTTATGCATACATATTCTACATAGCATGTATTTTTGTTTAAACTGAGATCATCTGCTGCATATACCTGAGTCACCATTTAATTGATTTAAATGATTAAACATTGCTGCTATAACTTAAATACAGATAAAAAGCAGGTAATAAATTAATCTATTTTAAGGGCTAATAAATACTAACTTGAAGATACTGTATTAATGTGTGTTTAAATGTGTGGGGCTTCCTTTTTCCCTAAAGGATTTTGCTGATACTATTCCTGGCCATGGTGGAATAATGGATCGTTTTGACTGTCAGTACTTGATGGCTACCTTTGTTCATGTCTATATCACCAGTTTCATAAGGTATGTTCACATGAACAGCCATTTAAGAATACGTTACAGAGAATTGATACGAATTCTTTTGCATCAGTCTTTATTTCAGATGTTGGAGCAAGTTCACATTTCTCCCTATTTGAATAATTAAGAAGAGATACTGCAGTTAGAATTAATATTTGGCCTAAGGCAACTAGTGGAAAGCATTTGTAAGACCAGACAGGTTTACAGAATCACAAGTCTGGCTAAGGATAAATCATCATAGCTTGGTTTTTGTGAATGTTGTCTGCACAGTCTTTTAAGAAATTTGGAGCGTATAAATGAACTTGTAAAGGCGATGAGCCACAACACACTGCAGTTTTGCCCTTTCAAAAGGCTTCTAAGAAGTAGTTACAAGCTAAGGTAATATTTTTTCATTAAGCTAAAAATGGAAGCATTGAATGTAGAATTTCTGTCTGTCTTATTTCTTTAATATGTGTAGGAATGTATTTTATCCATTGCCTTTGTTTGAACCACTTTTAGCATACTGTACACCTGAGGTATACAACCCACAGCTGCTTCCAGTGCTTTTGAGGGATCAGAGCCAAGGGAGCCATTTCCCTTATTAAAGCAAGCTGGTGGAAACCTTGTCTGGGGATTAGGGTACCTGTGCATGCACCATTGCACCCAGTGCGGTCCTAGGGGCTGGAAGGGTTGTGCACTCTGCGTGTATGCAAATGATGGGTTAGCAATTAGAACAGTTCCCTTTAGTTGCATTAAAAGAATACCACAAGAAGAGACAAAAGTTTCTGCAGCTCAGAACTTGAGTATTTTCCCCATACTCTGCCTTTGGCGGTATTTAAAACCAAGGAAAGAGCCAGGTTACAATTTCTGTCTTCCTCACCACCTGATATCAGTTCCAGTGTTGCTGGGCACACAGAGGGAAATGTGTATGCATAAATTATATCACTCCAGATCTCTGGTGACAGAATAGGTGTCACTCCCTATTTTTTCCTCTTGGTAAACCTAGTTTGGTGGCAGGTGGGTTATGCAAGAAGTCAGCTGTGGTTGCTGCAGCTTTTCTTTGCTAGGGCACTGTTAGGGTGGTGCTACTAATGGGCTGCAGTATCCCTTGCTATGCTGCCTCCTTAAGGGTTTTGCTTCAGCGAGACTGCCCTGTTCAAAATGGTTTAGTTGTTATACCATTCCTCATAAAACTAATTTAGGAAAAATGGTGCTCATTTGAATAAACTCCTTAAAGCAAGCACTTGACTGAACAGGAAACAAGCAAAGGGTACTAGTACTGCAGATCGAAATGTTGTCTCCTTGATATTGCAGAGGCCCCAATCCCAGCAAACTACTGAAACAGCTGTTGGTGCTCCAGCCAGAACAGCAATTAAATGTTTATAAAACTCTGAAGTCACACCTGATTGAAAAGGGGATTCTTCAGCCATCACTGAGAGGATAGGAGGACCAAAGTGTGGACTGCCAAGAGAAGCAGAACTGAAAATGCAGTTTTGCTTGGACATAGCAAGGTGCGTCAGACTGAAGCCAGACTCTCTGTCTGAGAATATGAATGTCTGTTTACTGAGATTACTGTGAATACCTGGGAGGCCATGCAAGATCTAAGTTCTCTGAAACAATTCCATGTTTTTGCTGTCTAGTTTCTTGGCTTGATGGAATGAGACATCTCCCTTGGTTCCAAACTTCAGAATTTTGTACAAGTTAATTATACATTTTTAAACAATGATGTGCACACTCCTTCTAGAGTAAATAATGAAAGGAATACTTGTGAGTGTGCAATTTATGTCAACTCATTTTTGTGCAATGAGATGAATGACTCCAGCTTAGTTAACAACACTTTATAGTTTGTATCTCAGTTTTAGCTGACAGTATGGCTAAATAATAATCAAATGGCAATAGTGGCTGTTTTATCCTATTATATTACTTCCAAAAATAGGAAAGAAACATGTAATGGGATGGCTCCAAGGGCAAATGCATGCCTGTACTGGATTGCTCAGGTTGAATTTATTTCTAGCTAAAAAGCTGGAGGTGGGGTGGAGTGGGGTGGGGAGGGAAGGGCAGGTGGGAATTAAAAGTTCTTGTAAAGGGTAATTACCTTTTGGTAGGCAGGCTTTCCTGGTAGAATCACAAAGACCACTTTGAAGCATAGGAATCTACTTGGGTTGCCAGCCTTCTTCTTAACCAGGACACTCCGTTCAGGGCTGTTGTGCACCAAGGCATGGTGGCTCTTTGAAATGTGCTTATTTGTGCCTCAATGTTTGTATGTGTTAAATGAATACTCATTTCTCTCCTTTAAGGTAAGTGCAATACAAGTGTTTGCTCAGCGTTATTTAGAGCAGAGATAGGGAGCCCGTGGCCCTCAGATTGTACCATAACCCCCATTCTCTCCCGCCATTGGCCATGCTGGTTGCAACTGAAGGGAATCGGAGTCCAACAGCATCCAGAGTTCCACAAGTTCCGTGCCCCTGGTGTTGATCTTTCTCATGAAGACAGGTTGCCTTGTGCAGTATGAGCAGTTGGCTAGGTGGAGTTGTTGGTTGGGAGACGACTCTAGAGCTTCCTGTCTTTGAGGGCATTTGGCCAGCAATAGGTCAGATGAGAGCACCTGTTCTAGTTCTGTGGTAACAGCTGTGCTTCTGGATGTGCTCTGTGTTACCCAGATTGCTTGAAATTTGACATTTCTAACATACATGGCACATGTTGCTTCTTCAGTGCTTCTGTATCATTTCTTTCATCATGCCATAACCCAAAGCCACCATTTTAAACAAATAAAACAATAACTTAAAGCGCATAAATGCCAAAAATGTGAGAGGGTAGAGAGTGACTGAATAGGATTTCAGGCGTTAGGACTGCAACCCTTGCAAAAACTGCTTTGTCCAGTGTGAGCTTCATCAAAATCAAGGATAAGCTGTGCTACAACCCACCTGTGCTCTTGGAGTTTCCATTCATTTTGTGTGTAAATCAACCTTCTAGAGGATCATGAGAGTACTGACCCTTTCAAGTGAGAGTGAATAAGCTTCTTCTTTTGCAGTGAGGGTTAAAGACTATAAATTTATGAATGGTTTAAGGTTAACAATTGTAGCCTGTCTTGGTGCACTTGAGTAAACCATGTAGCAAAACATACACAGAGGTCAACCTCTGGCTTCTGTAAAAATAGCATTTGTTAACCTTATTGTAGTACTTGAAGACAAAGTGTTTGGTTCCAGGCATCTGTTGTACCACTGTAGTAGGGTAACACTGTACCAGGCTGAATCTACTTAGATTATATCTGTCAAAAACAATGAAACGGCTTTAAAGTGGGTAGCATATCACTGAACACCAAGGCCGCCTTGGTGTGGGAGCAGCAGCTGTGTTTGTTCCTCCCATCCTGTTTCAGCAGTGTCAAAAATTGGAAATGACTGTAATTTAGACCACTTGGTCTGTGGCTGCTTCTATCACTGGAGAGGCATGGGAAGGGGCACGCCCATTGTGGCAGTGATGGAGCTGCTGCTAACCTGAGAAAAGAGGCCAGAAGCCGGATTCAGTTTACTTTTTAACCACACACTCATTTCTCCATACCCCATACAGTGTCATTCACGTGCAGCTGCCTTCTTTGAAGAGGGTGTGTTGCGACTACCTTCCTTGCAGCCAGTGGCAGAAATCGAATGCTTGTAAATTCTAGCACATGTTGGATTTCTTCAGATGACACACTTGGCTAAGGACTGGACTTGTGTCCCTCTCCCATTTGTTCACTGAATGTGTGTGTGGGAGGCAGAATGGCCCCAACTAGGCTCTGCTTCCTGGTGCTTGCTTAGCTCCTAAAGTGCAACCTTCAGGCCACAGAGTAAGCTCTACAGAGGTAGCTGCAGGGCGAAGTTACAGACATTGGTCTAAATGCTTGGGTTCCCAAGAAACGGGGTGGGACCAGTATGTACCCCTGCTGGCTGTTCATGGAGTACATTGGGGCTTCGGGGAATTTCTCTTATGCTCTCATTTACTATCACCAGTCTCCTATCTAGGGCTTCACTTTTACATTTCTGAACTGTTGTCATGTTTCAGAGAAAACAAAATGGTTCCATAAAGCCTTTTTTAAAATACTGCAAAAACAGGCCAAACACTGAAGAACTAGGCTAGCATACAGAAAGACCCAGGCTTTGGGTTCAAATTCTGCAGCATCAGCAGGAATATTTGGAATTAAGTGCAGTCATTTATAAGCCTTTGAAACATAAGACCTAGATAGTTTTTGTTAGAAAATATTCTGCCTAATTATTCAATCCTGAAGCTAAATCATATAAAATTATATACAAACATTAAGCTTAATTTTAATGTAAAAGTGTAACTTGTTGGGTTCTGCTATATTTTTAAGCCTTTTATTGAAATAAAACTGTATTTAAGCCATTGAATGCAGGAGAGGGGCTGAACATGCCGGCTTATTTGCACTGTTAAAATATACCACTGAAAAATGCTGCTACTGAAAGTGAAATGTTTCCTGATAACTTTGGATGTGTTTTCACAACTCCATAATTGGTTTGTGTTCAGGATACCATTAAAAGGGGGTTCCCAGGGTGCTTTTTAGTGACACTGAGAAGAATAATTTAACATATGACTGAAAACATATACTTGCAAGTGTATAATCCAGCCTTATCCCAACCATAGACATAGTTGTGGTAAATGCATATATAAAGCAATGCCAGTAGCAATTCATTCACAAACTTTAATTACAGTTGAAGGTTTAGCTAGGAGCAGAGCTTGCTGAATTGTACCTTGGAACAGCATATTCTGTAATGCGGTGGATTATAAGTTTTTTTACTGCTTTAGCTTTTTTTCATTTTTTCCCATATTGTTTGCCCCCTCTTTAAACTTAAGCAGAGTATGCTCAAAATTCTTCCCCCTGCCCATGTATCTTCCTTTAATTTGCACTTCTGTTGGTTAAGACTTCCGCCAAGATTTAGTGAGACTGTATAAAATTGTGTATATAAACTGTAAATGTCTTGAGCATTCAAATTTTAGTTGACTGTTTTGTAGACTGAACTGAGAATAATAAAGCTCTGATCAAAATCTTAATACTCTTGACTTTTCTTAAACCACCTTTCCTTTTTGCAGGTAAGTTCACACAGATACAGTTTGCTGTAATCCCTCAAAGCATGGTGCTGCTTAATTAGTGCACCAGCTTATTTTCCATTTTCTCTTCAATAAACTGATGATTTTGTGTAAAATTATTCATCTTCCCTCTTTGAGCTTAGGCTAGTTTGACAGTGCCTTTTCCTACTGGATGAGAGGGTCACCCAGTGGCTTTCATGGCAACTGGGCTTTTGAACTTGAGCCGCCAACAATGCCAGAATACTCAGTATATCCTTACTCCTCAAAATCAAACTACTAATTGAAAGGCAGGTATGTTTTGAGATAGCACAATATAATGTGTCCTCGTGCTCTTGAGACATGTACATGGAGGTCAGGAAAGAAATGAGTATTCAGCATTGTTTTTTAAAGGCAATCCTGGCACACACAGATTAAAAAAAAGTTCTTTGTAGCATCCTTTTCATCTGGTGCTAGAGCACCAAGGTTTTTTGGGATGGTAGCTAGAAGCAGCTGTGAATTACTGTGCTGTTGAAAAAGGATGTAAGCTGGGCCTTCCAGAGGTTAAAAAAAAACAATTCTGGAAGAGGAATCACTCTACATCTGATGGACGCAATTTAATTTTTATTTCTTTTTCCAGAGGACTGTGGCATCTATAATCAAATTTGCAAAGTGGACTTGGCGAGTCCTTTCTTCAGCTATTGAGTCTCTTTCTGCATCATCTGAACCACAAAATGCAGGCAGCTTAGAAAGCTTAAATGACTCAAGTTCATCAAAGGGGTTTCTGCAAACCTCAGGTTTTATTTAACTGTGTATCTCAGAAGCCAGGAGAGGAGCCAAGTTTCAGTTAGACATGACGTGAGAATGTGGGGCAGGGTACCTGGCAGATAAACTACATTTCTATACTGCCCATAGCCAAAGTGCTCTGGGTGGTTCACAGCATTTAAAGTTTACTCAGCCAGTGAGCTTGTTGGGTGACCTTGGGCCAGTCACTCAACCTAACCTACCTCATAGGGTTGGTTTTTGTGAGGATGAAATGGAGGAGAAACTTCCAAGCAACCCTGAGTTCCTTGCAAGAAAAAGAAAATTGGGATATAAACAACATAATGTATGGGGCTAGGCACTTTTCGTGATGTAATCTGCAGCTCAAATTGCATACAGAAGTACTTCTTAGGGAAAGTTGTGTAGAAAAATTGAAGCATAATATGTATTTTTGAAACAGACAAATGTAGAAATTGGACAGAATGTGCTTAGACTGAATATGTGCAAAACTGGCACTGCTGAAATAGATGGGCTTGTCCATCCCAACTTTCAGTGACATATAGTAACTTTTCTTTATTCCATTGACTATGAATTTGCATTTTGGCCTTACCGTTCAACAATATTTGGAGGAACAAGTCGGGGAAAAAACCAGCTTGCTTGGCCAAAGAATGTTTGCATGTGCAAAGAGACTTTTAATAGTTTCACAAAGAAATGCATAGAATAATTTGGTGGTAAATAGCAAGTATTTATTTGAAATGAAAAAACAAAAAGTACCTGAACTATTGCATTTAATCATGTATTGTAATTGTGTTACTCTACCTTTTTGCATTGGAGACAAATATACAATAAAACATTCAGATATCACAGATTGCACACTAGATAGTAATTCTTCAGGCCTTTTACATAACCACCAAAAACAGATATTGGATTCTGCAATATAGTACAAAATTCCACCCCTCCAGTCATAGCCAGTTATTTTCAATTTACTCCTGTTGCTGTACAAATAAATGGCCATTTACCCTAGGGCTTACAAATTAATAACAGGACAAAAAATATACATTGTACTGACACAAAAAGTCAGTTGTGTTAAGTCATGCAACAAGTAACCAAACTTGCTGAAATTAAAAATATTTTCTAGAAAGAGTTTTAACTGCATAAATATTTTTATACAATGCTCATTTAACAAAACCAAAGGAGTCTTTT